TGGAAGGAGTGGACTGGGGTCGCGAAAGCTGGGCAGTCGATGGCAAGGGCCGTTTGTCGTCACCGACCGCCTGGGGAACGTCCATACCATTCACGATGGTCGGGGATCGAAAGTAGTGAATTGGAGGCAGCTTCGCAAGTGGCATGATGCACCTGAAGTTCGGCCGACTGGACCCGCTGCCGAAACCGATCTGACGGAGGTAAATGAAAATCGATGGCATGCGAACGAGCTTTAAGGGGTGGAGGTGTGCAACGGTGATGCAACGGATGGGGGCGGCACGTGCGCAGTATGTGTTGTTAGTAGAATTTCATTTTGCGTCCATTGGAAAGGGGAGATCTGTTGCGGAGTTCGCGGGGTCACTTTGTAACATTTGCTTGGATTTGACCGACGAATGATTGGAGGCAATGAATCTCCAGGAAGAGTCGTTCGGGAGAGGATTTGTGTGCAGTTTTTGTAACTAAGATGCAGATTGGAGTTTTGCTTCCTTGTTCAATGGTCTGTAACCGGTCGGTTGGCATTTCCGAATAAATAACTCCGCAGCGAATGCCTTCTTCCTTTCACTAGTAGGTATAAAAAGCCATTTGAGTGGAGAACGTCTGGGCAAATTTTTGACGAAGGCAATGTTATTTTGAACGTTTCCTACGTTTTTCCACCACACTGCAAAGGGAGGTATATGATACACGATTTAAATAACGCAGTCCTGGGCTACTAATCGGGGTATTTTCTCTTCTGAATGCAAAGTAAACTCCGCTTGAATTCATTTTGAGGCATTAGTATTATTCTGTGCGAGAACGCTGGCCCAAACTTGCGAATTTCAGATTCAATCTAAAGGTTAACCTTCAGATTAAATGCGCGTCAAAAGCTGACTGTAAGACTCTTGTAATCTGGTACTGAGCGGGAAACCGAATTATGACTTCCTCAACAAACTACTTGTTATCGGAAAACTGTCCGTTTTTGTGCCAAAAATATGTCCCTATTTATGATGGTTATGATCCGCGAGTCACTCGCCTTTCGGTAGAAGGTGGCTTATTTGGAAAACAAAGATCGTTTTACCCGGTACTAGTTTGCAAAAGTTCACACATTAACACTGTTTACCGTTGTCAGTCACTGGCGGTAAATCCCACCATGAACAAGTAGTCCTCACGCTTGTGTGTCGGCGAGTCTCTCAAAAAATTCGAACAAGTACAAAAAATCGTTATCAATAACGGTGACATCCCAATAGAGCACCTGAAAATATATAGTAGATAATCATTCAGCTATAATACATTTTGGTGCTTAATTGTCATGCCACCGGAAGGAAACACGGGGGCTGGGACACCGCCAGGTTTCTCAAGCTTAGATAGTAGAAGTCGAGAGCCAATGACCGGGTTCGAACCAGGAACCTTCCGGTCAGTAAACTCGCGCTTTAATCGCTGAGTCATCTCGCCTGGAAATAAATGATGGAGTGGTAATGCAAGAAAGTGCTATGTAAAAGATTTGGCTTGCCTTCTTGTGGCGAGAGTAACCTAAGAATAAATTTATGGTGTAATTCTAAAGTGCATTTGGATGTACACAGTTGTTTGATGGCAGTCTGTTTCGAGGGTTTTATACCGCTTGGCTTTCGGCGAAGGTTAGGCATGATTAAATAATAATACTTAGTAATAAGCGTGTTGGATTTATGCCAACTAACTGTATTATACAAAATCTTAGGTCTCGCACACCTTGAATGCACATCTAAAAAAAAACAAATTTACGCTAGCAATTTTTAACTATAAACTACTTTTGTACACACGAGCAACATTTTACTAACGACTCTCAAGAACATACATTTTCCAGAACCTGCCTCTGGAATGGGCACTCTGGGTGGTGAGTAAATTGCGACATTCCTATTTTGTCCTTCCACCTCGCGTGTACGTCACTATTCAGAACATGTTCCTAATGTGCACTCAGGAATAAATAGGACAAGGATCGCATGAATATAAAACTGTTGGATCCTAAGAGTAAATCGATTGAACAAACTGAAAAAAGAGTAGAAATAATGGTGAGCTAGCATGATTCGGATCGTTTCCCAACTTGGTCTTTCAGTAAAAATTCCATTCGAAAGCACTGGTTCACACAAACAAAACATTCACATTTTCAGTAACTGACAGGCAAGATGAGTACTGAAGATCTTTAACTCAGCTATGGTTATGAGTAAGAAAAAGTGACAAACCAAAATCAAACAATACCCTTGAATGGATCACGTGACGTTAAAAACGTTGTGTGGAAGGACAAAACCGGAAAGTTTTGCGTATTCACCGGCATAAAATTTCAAGTGACGGACAATCCAATAAATCTGGCATCATCCGTCACAAGTAGTTGTTTGTTTTTCGCACAAATAAACGTTTTCCGTAGATCCACTGGACAGGGGTCCACGCCAAACACCGCCATCTCCATCTACCACCGTAGGTTTCGGAATAGGTCTTATAGAAGTTGTTTTGAACTCCTCATCGAAAACCACAACTTTCGTTGGTACATATGTGTGCATAATGCGGGGGGCGTCACATTGTTCACCGTGCCTGAACAGCGTTTTCTTTCGGGTTTACGACATCTCAGGAACGACTTAAATTCGTTTCGGAAATTGTTATTTAGCCACGCATAGAAGAATGGATTATAGACTGTGGAACTCATAGCTATCATGTGACATGTCATGAAAGCGAGTTCAAAGTGTGGATTGTCTTGCAACTCGGGGCGCAGCACGTCTACAATTATCCAAAGCGAATGTAGTGGGATCCAGCAAATCACCAACACCACCACCATAGCAATAAGCATTTTGTTTGTCCGACGGGTTCGATGCAGTTCAGCTTCCTCCTTTACGCGACTGTTTAGTCTCAGACCAATTTTCGTGGTACATCTTGCTCGAAGAACACAACTTACGCGATAGTAGCACAACGAAATGTTGAGACATGGAACGACGAACTGGAGGACGAAAGTTATAATTGTGAACGTCTGTTAAATAAAAGGGAGACGAATGGTTACTTAGCAGATAAATTTTACTTCATCTTGAATAGTTCACAATTAAGTTGCTCTTCAGATGGTCAAAGTTACTCAATATAATGCCCACTATTTTCTCCATAATTGCGATAGAGCATAATATTCGCATTACTGAATTATTAGTAATGAAAGCCGACAACAAGGACTTGGATTAGAGATTCATGTATCAATCACATGCACGCATAGGATCTATGCCATAAGTTTCGCCGTATGATCACCACTGTAGCTGAATATACTGTAATGTGGAACCTGCTGTTGATGGACGAAGTATTTAAGTTTTGTCACACATTTGATAACTTCCTTGAAGGGCCAACTATTCCGCGTCTTCTACAGACTTTCACATTTGGCCAAAAATCAGTCTCCCTCTAGTTTCCATTTGTCTGAATTCAGTAGTATTCATCTATGAGAAGATCCACCTATTTGAAAATTTCAACGCCACAAATGTTGTCAACGTTTTGCATGCTCGGGAGCAGTTCAGTTCCTCAGCGTCATTTTGAATGAGGCTAACTTTTCACGGTCGAAATGTCATAATAAACTGTGCCTCATAGACAAGCCTAAAGAGTACTTGCAAAATTATTTTTGTCACCTAAAGACACTCTGAAAGAAATATTTGTACCACTCATTCTCCTCCAAATGTGCTAACAAAATTAACCAATAATCAAATCATTGCAAAGGAATAGCTTAGAAGTTCGCTGTGACGCCCAAGCACAAAACATCAATTTGTGAGGTCGGTGTTTTCTGCAAGAAGCCAAATGGAACCAACCGCCATGAAAGTAAGATGTTTTATATTCAGATGACGTTAACACTCAAAACCCTGATGTTGAAATCAAATTATGCGTACCACATATGAGCTCCTCATACAACGTATTCTCAGTGTCTATCAAATCTGTCAATTTGCTCACGCATCTCAGTATATAGTTGGATACAAACTTTGCTCCTTATTAGCGCATAGGAATTGAATTCACGGAAGAAGTGTGCCAGGAGCAACAATTTGCCCACACTGTTTGAACTAGTTCTGTGATATTTCTGGTTAAAACACGTGCTTGAATATAGCTGCTTAAGGCCTACTCGTCCCCATACTTTGCCAATTGCATTTTTGATGCTTTCAGTATAAATCTGTACGACCATAAAACGGATAAATTTGCCTTCAAAAACTCATGTATTTTCAGTAATTAAACGGAAGGGAATAAACGTTAGAAACTTACGATTTGGTTTTCAAGAAACACTCTGAAAGCATCTTACGTGCAGATGCTTTAAAACGCTGAGGAACAGATTAAAAACAACTTCAGTTTTCTGGTACTCAATTTTTTTGGCTTTGAGTTCATTTTGCTTCATTTCCTCTTTTACCCTACAAATAACTTCACGATGTCTCAACAGTTCGGACACGTATGTCCAAACCATCAAATTTTTTTAAATAACACCATTAATTGCGAAACTATTATCAGAACAATTTGTCCGTGTTCCGCATATTTCGTCGCGCATAAATCAGATGAAACTTATGAGTTTGCCTGCCAGTTGGTAGTGTTTGTACCTAAGCTGACATTAATGGTGGATTTCTTGACCTTGTTCCGTGGTAGTACTGCTTGGCAGTATAACCAAAACTCACTACAAGCAACACCCGATGCTTTTAAATTAAGGCATTTTCGGATTCCAGTAATTTAGTTTCTACCTCACCTTGTACATTCAGCAAGTGATCAATTTTGAAACAAATTGTAATGCATATACGTCCAAGTGTACTGAAGCCAACCGGGGGGATTTTCACAGCTGTTGACAAGGTAGAGTTCCGACTAGCCTGCAGCTACAGATTGGAATTTCACCAACAAGTCTCCATAAAACCGCAATAGTGTAAACGCCCCACGTGAATCGCAGCGGCTCATGTGTGCTCTGAAACACTGCGCCATTCATTGTTGATAGTGCTGTGATGATGAATCACCTGCGGCAAAGTCTTTCTGCTTGATTGATATTTTCAACTCTAATATGGTTTGTTAATTTGTTTTAAGTTTTCACATGCAGTTACTCGCAACCAATATACTGGCAGAAACTTCACATGACCAGCATAACTTTGTCCAAAATTCTAAATCAATAGGGCGCTTCTGTGCGCGAAATATTGAGCCTACTTGTTTAGAATCTGACAATTTTTATCCGCAGAACTTAAATGTAGATTGGTGCTATCATCTGGTGACACTAAAAAATTCCGGTAATGACAGTAAACACCATGCGAATTAAGCAGCAGTGTGTAGATCTGTGACGCACGCATGTAAAACCATCAGGAAATTACCCATGGGAAGGGCTACATATGCAACGTGAAACTCACTGTTAGCAAAGGAAAATTCATCGACGTTTATCATTTTGCTCAGGTAAGACTTGATCAACTCGCAGAATTTGGCAAGAAGCTTTCAGGAATTTCGTCAGCAATTGCAGCATACTTAAGTGTGTGCATTTCTGCTCAACTAGTTTACAAAAACCATCCAAAAGTAATAATATGGCTTGCTGGTTAAATGTCGTCTTCATATCAAACGTTGCTGAACATCAAGTATTTTTTAGAAGCCGCAAGAGTGCGGGTAGATTCGGAGTTAGAATCCACTCAAAGGTACAATGAAGATGTCTGTTCAAATGTTGAAAAGCTGAATGCAAGCTGAATGCCAGGTTCGGCTAACTGAGCGACGATTGCTTGATCAACGGAAAGAAGCACACTCAAGCTAGCACTGTCATAATGCATTCCTACTTTATGTTAGAAAGACCTGAAAATCACATTAAATAGGTCCCAATTTGTGGTCAGTTTATTTCGAAAGTTTTGGTCGAAATACTCAGCGTAGTGAAATACTGATGTTGGAAGGAATAAACTAAAAGTCACTAATGCAAAACCAGTAATTCTGTGGAAATTGAATTTTGAGGCGCAATTTGTTTTCTTCAGTTTGCTTAAGGCTGCGAAGTTCTAATCTTTAGTCACAACCAACCACCGGTCTGGTCTAATAACCTCGTTTAGCTCTGAAGCCCTTTGAATCAAACCTAGGTGGATATTAACACATATTTACAGATGGAGTTGCAGTCCCTTGATAGTCAACTAATTACGCGTCTGAATTTCAATTATGTCATCATTGTAAATTAATGTCGGTTTTTCTATGGACATCCAGGATCTGGTCCATACTTATGAAAGCAGTCTAGTATAACCTGGTGAAATCTGCCGGAAAATTTTTGAATGTAGTGGTGTGGGACAAAGGAAGACACTCAAATAGCATTAAACCTTACCAAATGTCGGTGTTTAGTTGAAGGCGTATAATTAAAAAATTTCCGTTAGGATGCTAGTTCATCGCTGTACATCATCAGCTGAGTGAGAGTCAGCGCTGACCTAACCACATCCCTTTTTCGTGCCTTAAAATGAAAACATCTGGGCGGATTAAAATGAACGAAGCACGGGGTAACATCGATTGCCCTATTCCACTTGAAGATGCACTTGAACGGACTACTGAATATGTAAATTGTGCATGCATTGTGCTGGTAATTTACCCTCGAATTCTAATCCACAATTTGATTAGAACCCTGTACGGACGCTTATTGCACAAGTGTACGGTTTTGGATCTTCTTCGTAGACAGATACGTAGTTTTCTGCTTGGCATCAAATAAAAGAATACTGAATAAGAAATCGTTCTAAATATCCAGGAAGCAACTGACAACACGAGGTTGCCACGACATCCACGCGATTTCGTCATTTATTTTGAATAATGCGACCAACTTATCATAGTAAGAATTATAGGTGCCATCTGCCCAGTTTGCAATGATCCGGTGATCCTATTGTTCCATAAAGTATCGCCCCGATAACGGAAAACAGGCTTACTTTTAAGATGACATCAAAATGGCTTGCACTGAATGGGAATAGGCGTGTTTCTAGGAATAGCTCCGTCTATCGCAAAGTGTTTTTTTGTGTGCAACTTCGAAATAACATTATTAACTATAGATTACTGCTGGAGCTGGATAAACGAAATGCGGTCAAAGGCATATACTGCCACCGAATCTATTTGGACCCTACACGGAGTGTGGACCTACAAAGTGTTACAATTTGGAAATGTTTTTTTTCACTTAAAACGTTCATATGTATCCGGGCTCAGGAATCTCTATTTTCTCCTCGCAGGTTACCACAGAGCAAAACAGTTTTTTTCCACATATGTTGCGACCGAATCGGGTGTTCTGAACGATGCAGTAAAAAGGCATTTTGACTAACGGACTAGACGCGTTTCACAACAGTCGGGACAGGTTGCATGATCTCAACCAACAGGTGACCAATTTGTTATATCAAACAAATAACAAATTTAAAGCTCTGAGGGACCTTCCCGTTAGTTCTTCTCTGCTCCACCTTTTCAATTTTCCTAAAAAATGCAACGGAATTGGCCCATGACCGGTAAGGCCAAAGGATTGGTTGCAATAAGCTGTGTGCACCAGTTAATGATTCGTTCCGTCAACGATTTCACAAGTGAATACCTGCAAACAGCTGAAGCAGATTTGTCGTGAATTTTGGTTTTGACCGTACCTTACTGAAGACTTTGATTAATTCTTCTTGGTAAAAGTCGAAGTCACTGGATTTCGAATATCCTTTTTTAGTCCTCGAGATAGTCAAGACGGCAAATGCGTCTAACATTAAGTTTCCCTCTTGAATAAAAAGGAAAAGACTGCACAGGTTTTGTAACATTCCGGTATGATGAACACTCAAAAGCGTCATATGAAAGTCTGGCCATGAAAAATTGCCAGCTTGTGAGAATAACATCAGCTTCTGCTAGGTGATGAAAATGGTTACAGTCTCCTGGTCTAGAAATTCGTCCACAAATTGTTTGTAGAGGATTCCTATTAGGGATTATACCAACAATCTCCCTTTCAGTTAATCGGATGATCTTAAAGAGACCTAACGGTTGTTAGATCCGAGAATAGATTTCGGAACTTAGCACCGATATTTCTTTTTGCAAGTGAAAGCAGTCTATTCCAAAAGGCCGAAAAACGCTACATTTAATCTTGTTGGCTGTCATCGGTAGTGCTCGTCTCACGAAAATCCAGATGGTCTGGAACAGGGATTATGTTTCCCAGTTAGAAAGAAACACCTTTACAGTACCTCCCAAGTTTTCAGCATGGACTGACTGCAATTTCAGGGCAAATCCCTAATGGGAATGTTTAACCGTTTGTCACGCTTTCGGGAGTAGTGTACACTACCCTTGGTGGGTTACCAAGACAGTGGTTTTTGTACCTAGTTAGGTCACTACCCCAAACACCCTAAACTCGTATCAATGGCAGTTTCTTGCAGCGTAATGATATCGCGTGGAAATCCTAGAATCCAATGTAAAAGAAAAAGTAAATGTGTTTTTAGGGACATACATTTGACTGCATCGAAGCTCTCTGACTCCATAAAGGATGTATAATCTAATATAATCCTTAGGTTAGATATTTGGAACGAGTGGTGATGTAGGATACCTTAATAAGGCTTAATAGGCTACCTTAATAAGTTCTTCTAGCGGGTAGACTCTAGGTAGCCATCCAGGTATGTTTGGGCGTGATTGGTAAGTGTTCAGAAACATTGTAAACGATTCCATTGGCGTGCTGAATCGTTAAAATGGCAAGTTTCTAGCACACGGTATATAATTCTTCCTCCTAGGTGCTGTGTTTATGCCTGGTCATGCGCACCACAGATAATTCTAACACCTTAATTGTTACATAATCGCACTGGTCCGCTGAGGTGTTGCTGAAACTACTTTGTTTTTGTCATTGCGTTTTAGGTGCAACGGTGATAAAAATGCATAGAACAGATTGAAAACTACTTCACGGACTCTCACACCATCGCAGTCTGATTAATGAAACACAGTCCACTTGAACTAGCGTGGAAATTTATTACTCCAAAATCACCTCAATTTTTTATCTTAACTTAGGTAGATTGTCCAGATGGCATCGGGACCACATCGGGAATAATTGCGCTTAGTTTTTTTGACCAGTAAGATATCTACCTCTCTACTTTAGACACCAGAATTTCAGCTATCACTAGGAGATTGAGACTTTGATGTTGCTTACGAGTAACGAGTATTCCGTTGGCCACGACTGTGTACAGTTCACTTCTTGTGTAATTGGATCCAAGACTCCTTCGTGGAAAATAGCGTTGGGGAGGGTGACCAATAAGGAGAAAAACCACACGGTTGCAATGACGATGCCACAGATGGAAGGTGACACCGGTCTCTTGAGGGGATGAACAATGACAATATAACGATCAGCGGCGATCGCCATTGAAGTGAGAGTTGATACATACAGACTAGTGGTCATAGTCCAAGGAAGTAGACGGCACATAATCGGTGGTGCTGTCCAACTTTTGACGTAGAAAGCAATTGGTGTAAATGGCATTGATACGAATGTTATGAGAAGGTCGGACACGGCCAGATTTGCGATGAATATGTTAATAGTACTCCTCATTTCCGATGAACGAATAACCGTTAGAATCACAATGCTATTGCCCACCATGCTCAGAACCATGATCGTGGGATAAATGAAGACTGAAATTATTTTTAATGTTGACCAATTATTTACTTCATCAGGAGCGGTAGTATTAATGGAGAGGTTAGGAAAATCCATCGGCACGCTTTTGCAACTCAAATTAAAACTTGTCTTGCATATGGATTTATATGAGGTTTGCCGGATATTTGTCTGTGCTGTGGGATTCGTTGAAGCAGGTCGTCCAATGAAAATCCATGTTCATTCCACTAGGCGTGGGTTTGGGCCAATTTCTACCGGAAGTTGCATTACTGAACATTAGTTATTGTGATTGCGTCTTCGATATGATAGATGTAAAAATGCAGATGTGCTAACTGGTCTTTGAGTCCCCACCAAACCGGATATCTGAAAGGCTTTCTGCAAGATGTGCTAACTGGTCTTTGAGTCCCCACTAAACCGGATATCTGAAAGGCTTTCTGCGGGATTACTGAAAGCCTCTTCGATGGATAATGTTTAGTTCACATACCTCAGCTATTTGCAAAATATATGGATTGCATGAGGCGGTCGTCAATATAGGGTCACAATACATGCGAGGAAAAAGTCAGCAGCACTTCATCTGTTGGAGCGATGTTAGTACCCTAATGTGGATAATATTCTATCTCCTCTAGGTTGCGGGTTCCGTACAGACGTCAAGGGTCATATTACTTCGTGAAATGTTTACGCTGGAAAAACCTATGTCTATGGGTCGCTAGTCCTAATGTATCACTGACCGGCATGATTCCACTGACCACAGCCTACATAGTTGTCGTGAGCATTAAGCAACTATTTTACCAAAACACTTATTTAGTTGGGTAGCTTAATGATCACCGGCTCATCATTATTAAAATTTGCTATGCTTTCTGTTTTATTGTCTAAAGTGCTACCCGATAAATTTACTGCGGCTGACCATAACATACCCATGTTAATATAACAGACCACCGAGTACGGTGGCCTCAGTAGAATAAATTAAGGTGTTTTACGATCCGGTCCACGTTGACACACGAAAATGACCCAAGTAAGACGTATGATAAATGTCTTGGAGCAGATTTGCACGCATTTAGCATGAGATAGGTATTCTCCATAGCTAACCTAACCACTATATCAAACGAGAAAACCGCCTCCTATCGCCTTGCTCCAAAACCCAAGGCTAAAAAGAATTCTATTTATCTGAAATTCTATAACTTTGATCAGTCGAAGTACTGCAGCCTGATATGACTTTTCTTACTTGAGGATTAGTTGCTCTATAAGTCATTATGGCTGTTAACCGTTGGAAAATAATTATCAACAGCGAATATGCAATCTCGCCAAATCTGCCCACCATGTATTAGTTTGACTTTATTAGCCGAATCTTACAATCTGTTCGTTTTTGAGGATCACTCTTTTTTAAGAAATATATTCAACTGTGAAGTCAACATGTTTTTTTGTCTGAACTCTCCAAAGAGGACAAATGGCATTGTTATATAAATCAAATGCTCCAGAAATTAATAAGGTTAATTAATATGGTTGAAAAAAAAGGAACCAGTTATTTTCGCAACAATGCTTTGTATATAAAAGGCCAAAGAGCATTGCCTAAGATTACGTTATAACCAAAAACATACCTAGCTTTTATCCCCAAAAATTTTGGGCAATAGTTATTTTTATCAAGGATATATTTTAAAGGCGCGGATGTTTTTTCAGTACACAAATAAGACAATTGGAAGCGACTACCTCACATGACTGTCTTTTGTTATACAACGTGAACCTAGTAAATTTGCTTTACGATATGAATACTTTTTTGATAACAAAATCAATGTTTTTCAGAAAAACAAGATTCATAGTTTTCTGTAGGTTTTAAGCATTTTGAATGCCAAAAATGCCATGTTTCATAGTATTTTTGCAACATTTCGGAAAGGAATACTTCTCACCTCTTGGATTCATTGACAGGGAGGGAAAACCGTGAGTAGAACAACACCTTAGTATTTTGTTGGACAACCAAAGATCATTCAATACGTCAACCTCCGTTTAGTTGGCTCCTGGTAGGTAGCTCCTGGGTTAATTGTACATTAAAATTAATCAAATGCATTTGGAATATTCAATAAACTTAGGCTTAACTATTGTAAACTTCTAGCTCATGCATTCATCTGGCAACCCACTGCAAGTCTTGGAGCATATTTCGCGAAATTTTATGGGTCTGTATTTGCTCGTAAGCATGAAAATCAATAACACACCCTCATGGTCAGCTAGGTAATCCTCTAGTACCCTTCAGCATATAAACAAAATGTTATTGCATCCTGAAAAATAGTTAATTCTTGTTGTGGAAAGAAATTGATTGGATATAACGCAAACGGATCGGAGAGGAGAGAATTTAGCAAGTACTTGCCAGATGTATGGACAATTACCTTTTGGGCCGTAGCCATGCTTCTACGTGATGCTCAATTAAAAGCATATTTGAGGTAATCAGTATCTTAAGTTTCAATCAACCAATCCGCCAACATCTTGTATTTTAGAACAGTTTTCATGTGAAATTCGAGTTACTGTATGGTACTGTACATATTTTGCGACACACAGTTCCCCGACAATTGCCAAAATTCATGGATTGGCGTCAGAATGCTTATAGATACTGGCGTTTCGCAGCTGACCTCCCGCTTGGTGGCGTCCAAATACCGGCCTGATATTAAATATAAGGAGTAGAAAATAAGATATTTTAACAAATTAAATACTATGGTCCATAATAATTTGCTAGTATGTAAAAAAGTCTGTTCATGACATGGTCGTTTGTCTGCTCGTGGCTTGCCAATTAGCAACTCGCATGTGCACTAGTTTAGTGGAAGTAGCAATCTGTTATTTATATCTTTGCCGAATCCGTGCAGCAATTTTCAGCTGCAACTTACTTTGACAAATTTGTCAATGACTTACATTACCAGCTGGGCAGTAGGCTATCTTCCGAATTGGTTTACGTCTCAGGAAATCGAGTGCGCCATTCTGAAACATTGTACGCACAATACAATGTCAGATTTATATGAGAATACTGAGATAAAACAACTAAAAAACAGTTGCAAAAGAAACCGACAAAGTGGTTGGATAAAATAAAATAAAAGTTGATCGGACGTTTTAATCAAGAGCAAGGCTTAGATTCAATGTTTGATGGCGTGAATAGTGCACCGAACTCAAGGATGAAGGGCCAAATTGCTTTACTTCATCCTCATCAACATTCATAGATTACGCCCCGGGATTTGCAAGCTAACTTTTGAGCTCGGGAAAATTTAAACAGCCAGCTTATTTATAATGAGAAGTCTGGAACCTTTAAATAAATTTAATTATGCGAAACGAATTTCCTTATGAAACCTGCTTCTTATAAATCGCGACTTCCATTTGGTACTTGTACAGCCGATAACCCAGATATATTGTGGCCCGAACTGCAAGCCACAATTTGCAATATTAATTGGCCAACTTAAACATCACGCCCTCATATTTTTCAAGTTATCCTAAAACAATAATCCCTTTTGTGTCACCTGGACAGTTGCAAAAGAAACCGACAAAGTGGTTGGATAAAATAAAATAAAAGTTGATCGGACGTTTTAATCAAGAGCAAGGCTTAGATTCAATGTTTGATGGCGTGAATAGTGCACCGAACTCAAGGATGAAGGGCCAAATTGCTTTACTTCATCCTCATAAACATTCATAGATTACGCCCCGGGATTTGCAAGCTAACTTTTGAGCTCGGGAAAATTTAAACAGCCAGCTTATTTATAATGAGAAGTCTGGAACCTTTAAATAAATTTAATTATGCGAAACGAATTTCCTTATGAAACCTGCTTCTTATAAATCGCGACTTCCATTTGGTACTTGTACAGCCGATAACCCAGATATATTGTGGCCCGAACTGCAAGCCACAATTTGCAATATTAATTGGCTAACTTAAACATCACGCCCTCATATTTTTCAAGTTATCCTAAAACAATAATCCCTTTTGTACAATGGGATGGAGAAATCGCGCGAAAATATATTACAGTTAGATACCCTGACCCCCTTGCCTGTTTGCACCTGTAAACACCATCCAAAGAGAATGTTTACTGTAAAAAAATTTTATCGTCATAGATAGTAATAAGTGGGCGTAAAAAGATTTTAATTCTTAGCTTTTATACTTGGTTATTCATATATCCCAACTTCATTTTAATCTAGACAAAACTCACGTGCATGGATGGATACACCCGCAGATATATTAACAAAAAAATCTACTTGAGCATATGATGTCATGAATGTATCCAACCATGCACGTTAATTCTGTCTGGGTTAACAAGAAGTTGTGATAAGGATTCATTTAAAACAAACCTTTGTTGCCATGCCGCTCATATCTTGAATTTCGCAGTCATTCTCACTGACCTAGAACAGCTCGAATGTGAATCAGGCAGGTGTTGACAGGCAGCTAAGCTGAATGTGTCGTCTAAAGCATTTGCGAATATATCTGCCACTGCATGTGTAAATTTTGTTGTTCAACTAAGGAATTAACTCAAAGAAAATTAAGGGACTAGATTCACTTGATGAGTCACTGATGTCAGCCATCCAGAGTTCTCGTCAGTTTTGCGAGTATTTTCAAGAATCTGTCTGGGTTATTCGTTGTTTTAACGCAACGAGCAAAGTTCATTGAAACGATAAGATGCAAAGTTGTTTGACACGATTTTACGCTGTTTAGTTCGCGGTATCATTCCAAGATTTCCGATTGCACTCACAGGGTAAAACAAACAAATTTATGGATATATTTGAAATAAGTAAGATATGATATATGATATTTGCTTTTAACAAGTTGGCTACGGGCAATTCGCCTACTTAGCTAAAAAGGACAACTCCCTTTAAGAAAAATGAAACCTTGACGCACAGATGTGCTCAGTATGAATACGAAAATTTGGACAAAATCTGTAGGGCGCATAAGGGTGTATTGAAAATGATTACCTTGAAAATAACGGTACATTAGAACAGAGAACAGCAAAACAGAGAATACTTGTGATTGTTTGATTGTGTTGTAGAGACAGGTTTTGGGGGCACAGTCAGGGTGGACTGTGTTGACAGCACGGTTTTCGTTTGCAAGGGCGAAATAAAGTGAGGAAAAACACCTAAACACCGGT